CTTGAACTTGCACTGGGAATTTGCAGGGACCCCTGGACACAAGTCAGTGGGAGAACGAACGTGTCACTGAAGTTACTTTTGCATTTGTGAGAGGCTGCAGAGCTGAGGTCGTGGCCGGCACCTGCAGTCCCTGCACTCCGGAGGCTGAAAGATGATCGGAGGCCTGCTTGGGCTGCATAGGGAGAACCTGTTCCGAAAGAAAAAAAAACGGAAAGAAAGAAATTTGCCAACTTTCTTTTTGAAAACGTTTGTTCCAGCTCTGTCACCACCCACAGTGACTGAGAGTTCCCCTAGCACCAGCACTGGCACAGTTGGTGGTATCAGACTCTGACATTTTGGCCAATCTGCTGCCTGTGAAACGGTCACACGGTGTTGTTTTCCCTAAGCAGTTTTATTGTAGAGGTCGGCCTGTGAACCATGCTGGACCTGGGCTGGCTGCAGGCTGGATGCACAGCCCCTGCAGAGTGTGTGCTGTTCCTGTAGCCCCTTGGCCTTGGCCCCCAGCATAGCTCCAGAGTCAGTCAGGGGTATGGGCAGTGAGGAGGTAAGGTCCTTGAAGCCGGTGACCCAGTCGTAGTCTTTGATGGTGGCATCCATCACCAAGGGCGCATGCTAAATCATCGTGTGGGTTATTAATAGAATGTAGGTCATAAGAGAAAACGTGATTAATTGCAGCATGAGCTCAGCGGCTGTTGAGGGCCTCGGTCTTCCCAAGGCAGAATTCCTTCTTCCTGTATCAGCTCTTCTTTGTTGGAATGTGGAGGGAGGCCGTTGAAATGAGCAGATCTTTTCCTGAGTTGATATTTCAAAGATGGGGTGGGGCTGGATATACTGGGGATCACCTCTAAACGAGGCTAAATTGAACAATGTTTTTTGTTAGTCGCTGAGTTTTTTTCATGTCCCAGAGGGTGATCTCAGACAGTCCAGAAAGGAGAACATAGCTCATGGTGGAAGGCCACAGGGTGTGCTCCGACACTCAGCTTGGAATGCCCAGGAAGCCACTCACACCGCCGGCTGCTCAGAGGAGAGAGACTTGGCTGCTCTTCATGACACATGCTAAGAGCGAGTGTCTGGCCAGGCCCGGTATGGTAGCACACGCCAGTGATTCCAGCACTCAGGAGACTGAGGCAGGGGGTTCTCAGATGTGAGGGCAGCCTGGGCTTTATACTGAGGCCCAGCCTCCAAACAAAGAAGAACAGAAAACACGTAAAAGGGGGTTGTTTTGATTAGGCTTGCATTGCTGTGACACAATGCCCGAGACAGTATAAGTTTAAAGGAGGAAAGGTTTATTTTGGCTCATAGTTCCAGAGCTTTCCAGCCATGCTTTCTTGGCCCTTTGGTTTGGGGCTACCAGGAGCACACAGGGCTGTGGTAACAATGCATGTCTCAGGAGGGTTCAGTTAGGGACAAATCCATGTTCGTGCACCTGCAAATAGCCCTCAAAAGGTTGCTTTTGGGCATAGCAATTAGGACATTGTGGAACTTTGGGGGACCCCTGAGCTCCTGGAAGCCCATTTTGTGAAACAGAAAGCAAACGGTGCTGCCATGAGCCAGTGCTGTGGGGGTCACCTCTGTCATGGTCTTTCCTCTGCAGTCTCGCTGGAGACTGTGCTCCCTCTGGGGCTGGAGTAGGCCCTCCAGTGTCCTCAGGCTGACCCTGGTCCCCAGAGAAGTCAGTACATGTCCAGGACCTCAGTCACCTTGTCCATCAAGTGGACAGATCAGACAAGATGACAGTGATGACAGTGTTCCTATCCCCCCCTCTCCCTCAGGACTCAGCCTCGCAGTGTGGCTCCTCCATTGGAGAGAAGCAGCTCGGTGTCCTGAAAGGTTCACGTTCCCTTAAACACAAGTGACCGGCACTCCTGTTCCCTCAGAGAACTTCTATTCAGTTGTTTCTGTTAGGACAGAATGGCCCCATCTTAAACCTGTAAAGGAGCCTAACAGCTTGGGGTGCAGGAATCCCAGACCTGGGCTGACTAAGTGCCACTTACATATTCCTATCAAGACTTTGCCAGGTTGGTGATTCAGCCCTAGTCAGTCCCTGTCTCTTCTGCTCAGCAACAGGACTCCCAGGGCCAGCTCTGATCGGCCTCCTTGGACCATGGCTCTCCAAGCCCATGCCTGTGGCCAAGGGGACGAGGATTTTAGCCTATGGGTCCCTACTTGAGATGTGGCCATGCCATCTTTCTTCTCCCGGGACTCTGGGGTATCCCAGCTCAGGCTAGACCGGCTCGGTTGCCCTCCTTCACTGCTGTCCCCTGGGCTGCTCTTTCCTTCCTTCCCCACACTGTGTGTGGTAGCCTCAGGCAGATAGGCCTCCAGTCTCTTGCAGTCCAAGGTACCTAACCCTGAAGAAAGGACAGCCAGAGGTAGCTGGGCTCTGTGGCGCGTTTGCCGTTCTGGAATGCCAAGCCGAGGCAGGAAAAGCTTGAGTCCAGGATGGCCTGTCTTTGGGTGGGTGGAGGAGGGGGATGGAGGGATCTGTGGCATGTTGTGGTGGTACACACCTTTAATCCCAGAGTTCAGAAGGTTCTGTGAGTTCAAGGCTAACCTGATCTGTATAGTGAGTTACAAGACAACCAGGACTACATAGTAAGACCTTGGTCTCAAAAAACAAAAATGTGTATAATTAAAGAGAAAGGAAAAAATAAGAAAACCAGTTTCTATTGCTTACCAGTTTCTATTTGCTGGTGAAATTTTACAAGCATTTTATTCGGAGACTTCCTGGTCATTCCAGGAATGTGCTAATGGCAAGTCTGATGGTGACAAAGGAGATGTCCTTAGTGTTTCTTTCTGCTCCCCTCCCATCCTGTGGAACACCTCGAAAATTGACCTGGTCCATTTGGGTCAGTCAGCAGGGTCTAGCGAGAGAGAGAGAGGGGATGGAGGGGCAAGACACTCGAAGAATGGAGACAAGACAGAGTCTGATCAAGTCTCTTTTATTGAAAGGAAATCCTGGGTATTTATATGTTTACCACGTGCTCCTTATAGCTGTGGACACTAAACAGCAAAACAAGATATGTGAGAAAGACAAGATGTTTATCAAAGTGTGCTCAGCTGTTGTGGGCTATTGAAAACAAGTCTCTTGTCAGGGTATATGGCCTGAGATGGCTGCAAAGATGATAGCTGCTTTCTGCTAGGAGTCAGCTCCCAACAGAAAGTCAAAGCTGTTTGGCCAGCTGAGGAACAGGCAAGGGCCCAAGGGGCTGCTTCTGGGTTCTTCTGAAGTGTGTGTTTTCCTGGAGTTGCTGGCACTACGTATAGTGACTGTTGCTAATTTTATCTTATGCCTCCCTACATGGCCTGGTAGTGAACTCTGGGAATCAGCGGGAACAGCACGGCCTCTGCCCTTCTGCGTTGGTTGGAAGCTATTTTTCTTGAGAGCAAACATAAGTCAAGGCCATCCTGCTTATGTAAAAGAGGGACTGTGAAGCCCGGAAGAGCCCACCGACAATGGCATCCAGAATTGCAGGACCCAGGGCCTCCAGTACAGCGGCCAGGCTGCTGTCTCTTCCCCCTCTCTTGGCTCTTTGGGTCCATGACTGAGTTGGTCTTCTGTGCTGTTTTATTCTCAGAGGGGCTGAGATGGTCCTGGGAGATGTAAGGAGATGTAAGTGACCAGTCAGCCGCCCCGTTGCTCACATTCCTCCCGTCCTGGGGCTGCTGGTCACTGCTCGGCTTACCTGGTGTCCAGGCTCGGAACGGGGAGAGCAGTGCAGTGACTTCAGCATGACGCCAGGTCTGGATCATGTGCTCGGCTAAGTGGGGCCCTGCCCTGCAGAGGTCCTCCAGCTTGTGTTTGTCCCTGTCCCTAATCCTCCTGAATGTGCCACCACACCTGGCTTACCTTACTCACCTGCTTCTAAGTCACTCAGTCCCTCACTAGACCTCGCTTGTAAAGTAACAAGTGTGTGGATAGATTCAGGCACACTGATGCACACCTAACCCAGCACCTGGGAGACTGAGGCAGATGATGTGTGAGGCTAGCCTGAGCTACAGAGTCCGCCCCATGCCCCCTACACACACACACACACACACACACACACACACAGAGGCCGTCTCTCCTCTCCCTCCCTCCTTCTCTTGTATATACACACATAAGACATGAAAGAGAAGCAAGCATGGATTTGGCTCCGTTTTAGACATCTTGATCTCTGGATAGAATTGGGTCCTTTGCAGCCTTTCATACCCATTTCCTGTGGACATTTGTGGGTTGCCCTTTCTAGATCTCCTGACACAGGGCCCACCGTGTGCCTGCACATGTAGTGTGAACAGACTCATTTCATCCTTAAAATGCCCCGCCTTGTGCCGGCAAGATGGATTTAGTGGGCAAAGCACTTGCCAAACAAGCCTGACCACCTGAGTCTGATCCCAAGAGCCTACATAAAGGTAGGAGAGAAGTACACGTACGCGTGTGCTCACACACACTTTATACACTCACAATGTTAAAATCATTCAGATAAATACAGCCATACCAAATATTCATGCGCCTAGACTTGTGTCAGAAAAGTTCAGTTGTCATTTCTCCGCACATAGCTCTCCGAGAGGAATGTCCTCGTGTGCCCCACACTTTGCATCTCTCCTTTGTCCTTGCTGTCATGGTGGCTATGGACTACCACCCGGAGACTCTCCTGCCTCAGGGCCTTTGCACCAGCTGTTCTATGGCCTGGAAGCTCTTTCCGGGGCAGTCTTGGTTTGTGATCTTACCCATTTGGGCGTCTTTCCACTGCGTGAGCTGGCAGCCCTGCCCCCCTCACCATGTTTGCATCTCAGTTTGTGTCAGACACAGGCCAGCCCTGGTCTTGTGTGCTTGCTCAGCCACCTCCTCCCCCTCCGCTAGAACTTCTGCTCCTCAGGACAGCGGGTCTCCCGCTTCTACTGTGTTCTCAGTGCCAGACTTTGATTGATATCTGTCAAGTGTGACAGGTAACTGCTACAGCAGGAAGACCCTGCGCCACTTGGCCAAAAGCGTGACCTTTTCTTTTCCCTTTTCATAGGCCTTTGACCTTGACCTTTGACCTTGACCCTCGCGAGACCTTCAAAGGTGCACTAGTGTCCAGGGCGTGCTAAAGTAAGTACTGTGGCTATTTGTTTACATTTTATAAACAATACACATGCCTATGTTATTTTAAAATATGCATACAAAGAATATCCGAGAAGAGAACCATCTCCACCACTACCCCTCCCTCCTCCCACCCTCCCTTAGAAGTAAGTTCCGTCATTCACTGCGCCATGTGCTGCTATCCCGTTTCCCACACACACATATGCATACTTTGTATTTCAGTCTGTCGTCTGAGAACAAACCCATGCTGTGCAGATGCTTCTGGAGCACCCCCCACCCACAGTGTGTCTCAGAGAGCCTTGTTCATGGGCAGTTACACTCAGGGTGTTTGGTTTTACGTGGTCTCAAGGCGATTTACATTTTATGTAGGTCTTCACTCTTCACTTTTTTTTTTTTAAGTTCTCACAAAGGAATTCCTTGTGAGCCTCCTACATAGGGAGACACAGAACGGGCCCATCACCCTGCCGTGTGCTGCTGCTCTCTCTGTACGTTCAAAACTCAACGGCAGCAGCAGCGGCGGCATCGGTGCTGGCGCACGACTGACATATGTGTGGTAAATACCTATCTGGATGTGTAGGTTTAAGTAGGTTAAATTTGGGAGAATTTGGGTGTGCTTTTTTTCTAACACGTATAGTGCTCTCTCATGGTCTGTGACGGATTTTAGATTGTGAAGTCAGTTTCAGGGCACACACTCTTTTGGTTCCTAATGAAGCGTTTCTGAATGCCAATGCCAGCCTTTATGGCAGGGTGCTGGGGACAACGCTGCCTGATCCTGGAAGAACAGGATGATGCTGACAGTGTAGGCAGCAGGGAGAGAGGGTGGAAATTCTGGCTCCAGACACTAGAAGTGTTGCCGCCTGAAACAGACACCTGCAGCTACACTATGGAACTCAGTGAACCCCAGGAAACCGCGGGATTCCTCCCTGAGTGGTCCATCTCGGTAAAGTTTTGCTAGATCCTCTGAGGCAGAGGCTGCTTCTTGCATGGGTACGCAGGTGTTAGATTTCAATTGTTGTTCACCTCGGTTCGCTTACCTGTTTGTTTTGTTTTTAAGATAAGGTCTCACTATATAGCCCTGGTTGTCCCAGAACTCACTCTGGAGACCAGACTGGTCTTGAACTCCCAGAGATCTGTCGCCTGCCTCTGCCTCCCAAATATTGGAATTAAAGGAGTGCGCCTCTAGGTCTTCGGTTCCTCTGGAGCTGGAGTTTAGTGTTTGTGAGCTGTCCTGGGTAAATACTGGGAGCCAAACTTGGGTCCTCTGTGCCAGCAATATGTGCTCCTAGCTGCTGAGCCTTCTCTTGGTTTTCGAGACAGGTTCTCATACTGGACCCTGCCAGTTAGGTTAGACTGGCTGACCAGTGATTCCCCGGGAATCTACTTATCTGCCCCCAGCCCTGAAATGATACGAATGTGCCACCACTCCTGGCTCTTTTCACCAGTGCCAGGTCCCCATGCTTGGGCACCAAACACTTCACTAAGCTATCTCCCCAGCCAGTCGTCATATCTTACTGTCCTACAGTCTGTTCCGGGTTCCAGCACTCTCTCCTTTCTTTTGTAACTCAGGAAGTGATTTTGTAGTGTCTGGATTTAGCTTTGTTTGATATTTTCCCGTGACTATCAAGGCAATATTGTGAATGGGAAGAGTATCACAGAAATGATGTCCCCTCCTCGGGGTATTGTCCCGGGGATCCACAGTGTCTGTGATTATTACCCAGAGTGTCATCTGACTGTCTTGGCTAAGGTGATGTCCGGCTGCCAGGTCCTTCCCCTGCCAACCCCACTGTCAATTTCCAAATATAACTCAAAGGCATTTGGAAGGAGCTTTAAGACTCAGACGAAGCCCTGCGTGTCCACAAACTTACACGCACTAATGCCAGCATCTGCTGGGAGCTGTCGTCTCCCCTCTCAGTGTCTGCTGTAATGTCCCCAGACCCTCCCCATCTGTTAGCTACAGTTCTTGGCTAATTGGCACAAAGGGCTGGAGGGAAGGTCCCTGTCAGGCTAACAACCTTTGATTTAAAAGAAAAAAAAAGTTTCTCACACTCTGTGGTGGGCCAGTGTCATGGCTTGATGCCGCCCCCGTTTCTGTAGGGCTTTCCCCCTCTTGGCCACAGGGTTGCTGCTATGGTTCCAGACAACACAAAAGTGGGGATTAACTCCAGTGACCTGTGTGAGCACTCCCAGAATCCCCCAGATAAAACCACTGTCGGCTCCCTGGGCAGAGTGGTGTCACAGTGGTGTCACATCACCATCCCCTCAGCAAAGCAGGTATCTACGTTTCAACCTTGTGGCCAGAGGAAAGGGCAGTAGAGAGTCAGATGGTAAGCTGGCCAGCAGTGTCTGGCTCCACGGGGGAGAAGAGCAGTAATAATTGGTATTAATGCAAGCTGACTCGGGGCCAGGCCCTGCCGTAAACACTCTCCATGCATGAGCTCACTCTGTCCTTACACCCACCCTGTGAGGTCACCGCCATCACTACCCTGTAGCAGTGGTGTGAACACCGTGACACAGGATGGGGAGGGTGCTTACAGAGCAGTGTGTCCAGGCCGAGCCCTGGCAGCCTGTCTCCAGAGCCCTGCCACACCTGGCTACATTCTGTCCAGCTCCTGTCTGAATTCTTCCAGCCAGTGACAGACGTGGTGTCCTATCTTGCGTTACACCTGTATGTAAGCCCCTCCCACTAGTCTTGGTCATATATCCTCCTTGCCAGACTTAAGGTGAAGGGCTTGTAAGTTGCCAGGGAAAACACTTCTGGTCTTCCTTTCCCAACAAATAGTACCCGCACCTTTAGTTATTCTGTCTGAAAGGGCCCCACTTTGCCAGCTGCCTGGCATCTTGCGGGCTCCTTGAGCCCACATTTCCTGTGTACCCCTGTGTTCATCCCCGTGTGCAGCACATTGGCAGAATGACAAGAGCTGTAACCGGGAAAGCTGCAGGGCCGTGGGCATCCTGGGCAGACACCTAGCCCTCACTTGGCCTTCTACAAGTCAGGAAAATCAAAATGGGTTGACAGGGAACCCATGCACACTGGTTCAGAGGCCAGCCGACCCGGGTTCCAGTCTCAGCTGCGCCACTGGCTGGCCCCACTTGGGCAGCTTAAGCCATGGGGGCTGCAGTTTGTCCCTAGAGGTGGTTTCAAAGGTTAAATTGTGCTTACAAACTTAAGTACCTGGGACAGAGCCTAGCTGGGGTGTGGGAGGGGTCACTTCCTGGGAGCTGAGGATGCTGAGGATGCTGAGGATGCTGAGGATGCTGGGGATGCTGAGGATGCTGGGGTCCGGGTGCTGATGGTGGGTGGCTGAGGCAGCTCTCACGCGTTAGCCCTTATAGCTGTTGCTGCCTCCTACCAGCAGCTGAGCCAACACCACTACCACCACCAGCGTTCCCTGCTGCCATGGTGATCCTCACCCACCAGATGCCAAACTCCTAGGGCACCTGGATGTAACTGATCTGTCTTCTGGGAACAGGAATTTGCTGCTAGCTTGAGGCTTGGCCCAGGAGTTTTACAAGAGAAAACAGGAATGTTCTTCGGTGTGCACCAGGGACCCACAGCTGTTGGTCTCCCAACCTAGTTTCTCATGAAGTCCCTAGGCTTTTCAGCACTGGCCTTGGGATCCAACTGCCCTTGACCCCTGCAGTCAGAACTCATGGATGCTTTGTACAGCCCATCACCCGAATCCCAAATTAGACCTGACAGTGTGATTCATTCTCCTGGACGGAGCGGGAGGGCAGCGCCCCAGTGGGTGATTCTTTGGACGGTTGTCAGCCCGAATTAGTCCACACCCTTCATGCATCCTTGCTGCTTTAAGCATCCTCCAGCTAATAGGGTTCCCAGGGGGGCGCTGGCTTCTAAGCAGCCTCCTCTGTCTCCAGGAACTGGAGATAGGCTGTGTGGTCCCTGACAAGGTGACAGTGTGTTTGAAGAGGCAGCCGGCAGCCTTATCTAAAGACATCAGCTGTGGGGTGGGACCTTTCATCTTCCCAACAGGAAGTGGAAGTAGCACTTCCCAGGGAGTAAATGTTGTGTCTGCCCCTCCCCCAGGCCTTTCACTGCTGTAACCCCCTGCAGCCAGAGACTGTCACTTTCCAGGAGCCACCAAACCTCTTCACAGTATCCCTGCCTCAAGTGACTTCATCCATTCACAGGACTGCCAGCCGCAAGTGAGATTCTAAGGCGGCAGCAAACGAACCTGAAATGCTAAAATGACCACCGTCAATGCCATCCTTTCCTGGGGACATGTGTCATGCGGCAGGTCGGGGAGCATTGATTTTATATTTGAGGGACCCAGGCCCTGACTGAGTCTCTCCTGTCTTGAAGCTCCACAGCTAAGAGACACAGCTCGGGGACAGGAGGGTGGCAGAATGCACAGAGCCCTGAACAGTTAGATGCACTTCCGTCTCCATCTGGAAAGGTGAAGAGGGCGTGAATACTGCGGCTACAGAGTAGATCTGTGAGGTACTTATTGAGCACCTGCTGCATGCCATGCCTCCTGGGGACTCAGAAAATGCAGAGTGATCAAATCTTCAGGAGCCTATGGGCTGCTGTGCTCAGTGCAGACGATAAAGAGCTGGGGCAGCTATGTGGAGGGGCTTGACACGTGTCGTGGGAGGGGCCTGAAGGATAAGAAGACAGTCACCGAGTGGTCCTGAGATAGGCAGTCCCAGTAGAGGGAGCAAACAGTAGAAAGAAAGGTGAAGCCGTCAGCCTAGGCCAGCCTGGAGTACATCATGAGAGATCTCGTCATCCCAAAACAAACACATAAAAAGCCTAAAACAAGATTCTGTGGTCCTGAAGTTATAGACAGTTGTTAAGCAGTCACGAGGGTGTTGGGAATCGAACCTAGGTCCTCTGGATGCGCAGGAAGTGCTGTTAACTATTGAGCCATCTCGTCAGTCGAAAAACAAAACAAAAAAAGCCTAAAACAAGCTGGTAATGATAGCGAACACCCATAATGCCTGGGAGCAGCCGTGAAGGACTCACCACAAGTTCAGGGCACCCCAGGACT